TGTAAATCATGGGAAAGCACAAGAGAAACATTGGAAAAGTGACTTCCATTAGAGTGGACACAAGGGCCTGTATGCAAGAACCTATCACTTTATGGCCTATTACATAGTAGCTATCATGATAGGTATCAGGTGATAGGTCTATTATTTGCTTAGTTCCGTATGCAAGAACAAATGATAGGTATCCATCTCGAGGCCTATTATGATAGGTATCTTCACACCTATTATGAAAGTTATTTTATACCTATCATGATAGGTATTCATGAATCTTCCTGATGACAACCTCGTATCCATTGTCTCCCGCCCAAGAAAAATGCCATGTGTGTCTGCTCAAATGACTGACCAGAGTGTTGTGTGATGATTTAACTGTATTAATCTGACCCCGTTTACCAGACTAGTGCTTGAATTCCAACTGCCATGGCTTGATACAAAGAATTCTACAGGATTTAATCTATCTCAGAGTAACTGTGCTCAACACAAGTTGCAATGGTTCACATAATTAATTGGGTTAATAAAATGCACTGCAATCCACCCTGGTAGCTCGTTATAAGCAGAATAAACATGCTCTGGATCATAATAGTTTGAAGCGATTTTTATACCTATCATGATAGGTATAAAATGTTTCTGCATACGGCCAACCTATCAAACTTATCATATAATACCCCCCAAAATAGCTATTTTATCGGTTTTATACATTCTTGCATACCAGCCAGGGTCTGAAAGGGTTAGACTCAAGAGCCCCAAATGGAGATGACATCCCAAGGAGAACATACATAGCCCTCGCAACTCTACCTTCATTAAATAGTCTTAGGTTGATTGTGTCTAGCATACAGAAGACAAGTTCATGGCAAGGTAAGCAGGCAATTTGAACATGTAGGCTATGAAATTAATCTTAATTCAGGGTAAAAATAAATTAAGTTCCTAGGGGTGGAGTAGAACCTGTGCTGAAGGGCGACAAGTCCAAGATAGATGGAATGTGCGACATTGAGGTCCTTAGGAGGCCACTCTGTGGCAATGCAACCGAACACTCCACACGCCTCTCTCATCCCATCCTCTATGCTGCCGACTTCTTCCATTATTAACCAAAAACTTCAGAGGAGAAGGGACTGAACAAGCCTCTGGCCTTCAAAACACTGAGTTCGAGAGAGAGAGAGAGAGAAAGCCAAACCAGAGACCCGCCTCCACCTCAAACGTCCTGTGCCAATCCACGTGCGCCCTACCGGCGAAAACAACGACGTCATGTTCTCGCCGGGATGCCGAATCCTCTGTTTCTTTCCTTTGATGTTTATCAGTGCTTGACATTCGGGTAATCATGCAATCCGACATGACAATTGCATAATTTGTCGGTCTCTGACGAGATGAAAATGAGCTACTGAAAGAAGTACCTCATCCAGAAATATACTTTACTCATTGTAATGAAGTTTCGAAAAAAGTAATATGGTCTCTGTTTCTCATCAGAATATTGCTTTCTGCGCGCAAATAAGCATCTTCCAATGCTGGGAAATGTCCTTATACTCCCCAACATTAGATACTGTCAACTCATCTATTCTAGCTATTCAAAATCTTTTCATATCAGAAATTATAATATACTCCTAAGAAAATCCTTAAGAGTAGCCTAGAAGAGAAATATGTACTCTCCCTAAGCCCCACTTTTCCAAAAGGCCAGGTGTTTACCGATGAAAAATTTATTTGCTTTTGAAATAGCAAAACTAATTCACAAATGCCTTCAAAGAGGAGTCCCTAAATGCCTTCAAGATCTCATCAAATAGCCCTCGTACCGCTACATAGGAGCAAACATGGAATTCCCAAATGGAATAAGGAGTTCTTTCAGCATTCATTCCCATGCCCCTGCCACGAGGAATTTTGTCAAACCCATAGGCGGCGACTTGTGGAGAAGCATGGGAAGAGGGGGGTCCCTCTGGACAGTACTCCTTTGCAAGTATTCCTCATTCTCATACCCTCGTACTCTCCTTCCCTCCCCCAATCTCCGTACACTCAGAAAGATATAGGCTCGTCGCTTGTAAATGCGTTCTCTTGTTTGAGGACACGAGGAGGCCTTTCTCCGCGCTTGCTTGTAATTTGAATAGACCATGTTACCAATGGAGCTTTCGAATGAAGGCCAAGAATAACGCTCCCACCACTTTTGTTGGACTAACAAAAACTGTTTCATGAATTGTTGAGGGGCCGAGACCCCTCTGCCAAATGTTTGGGGGACCCGGGCCACTGAGCCCCCTATGAATTGCCGCCTATGGCATACCCCATATGTTGCATACGAAAAGCTTCCCCAAATTCCTGCCCCCCCCCCCCCCCACTTTTCCTTTATTCCTTTTTCCCCCATTATTATTACCGAGAAAGACAGCCTGAACGAGTAGAGTGAGAAAATCTCATCACAGTCACTTGATGGCATCATCTTCCCAGACAAAAATTGGTGGGTAGGAATAACGTCGAAAAGAATAGTGCCGAAACGGAATAACGCCGACACAGAAAAGAAGCGACACGAAATAATATCGACACAGAATAACATCGACAGGAAATAAGTCAACACAGAACAACACCGAAGTGGAAATGCATCGACACGGAATAAGCTAGACAGTAAGTGCATCGACACGGAACAGCATCGAACGGAATTACCTCGACAAAATTGCTGCTCGGAATAAAACCGACAGAATACACAGAACAACACCGAAGTGGAAATGCATCGACACGGAATAAGCTAGACAGTAAGTGCATCGACACGGAACAGCATCGAACGGAATTACCTGCTGTTTTAACGATGAGCCTTATTTTGGCTGTCTTCATGCGGCTGTGCCTTAGTCAAGCTGTCTTTGGGATGGGCCTAAACGTAGCTTTTCTTTATAAGTTCTGTCCTTGATGCGGCTGTATCTAATACACCGACGAACTAGCATAGATGAAGGTGGTGGCGGCGATAGTGTCACGTAGATATCATGCATGTTGTGTTGGCTAGGTGACTAGCAATGCTTCATTCTATCATATGCAGAATGCGGGAAAAGTTTTTGCAAATGCACAGGCGACTCCACAAAAGTCAACACGAGAATTTATTGGGAGCACAATGCAATAGGCCTAGTTATGGAAACAAGTTCAAGTAATTGATTGAGAGAGAGAGAGAGGTCTGATTCCATAATTTAAAAAGATCCGAAAAAATCACCAATTATTTGTCTACCCCGTGGATATCTACAGTCTTGCGCAATTCTGATTGAAGTACACACAGCACACATCGTGTGACCGCAAGGGATGAGGGCAGAATCTCTATCACGAATCGTGCAGATGTCACATAAGAGTGTTGCAGACCCTGGTGGCAGTGGGGTGGACTGTTGCGTTTCCTAAACGTGACAGAAGAGATCTTGAGATTCGGATACCCATTCTGAAGAGTGATTGCTGGC